TATCAAATCAAAAATATAAAAAAAAAAGAAAAAAGCCTATAAATAAGATTTGAGAAGTCTTTGAAGAACAGATGTATAAAGCAGCTTTCAACAAGCTTGAAACTAAAAAGGTCATATTACATAAAGAAAGAAATAATAAACCCAGTCCTGAATTTATTAAATAAAGAAAAGCTTTGCAATTAAAGGAACTTTTCAAGAAAGCAAAATCTCGAAAGTAATAGAAAAGCTACAAAACCTTTGCAAGGCAATAGAAAAATATAATATTATTTACAATTCATATAATTAGATAAAAAATTATTATGTGCAATATAGCATTTTTAACATATCCTGAATATTATTAAAAAAAATATCTAAGATGCATTAGAAGGTCTAAAGTTCATTAGATAATGACTTGAAGTCAAAAAGACAAGAGATTCTATTAAAATTGTATTAGAACAAAAATATAATGATCTAAAAAACAATCAAAGAAGGATTATAAGCTCTTTAACCAATAAAAAAGGGGTAAGATTATATTAGACAGGATTAAAATCAAGCAAAGTGATATTAAATATATAATAATAGAAAAATATGAAATCAAAAAAGAATAAGACAATATTATCTAGAAATCTTCAAGAGAAGAGAAGTCAATTTTGATAACCTGACATAATATTAGAAAGAGGAGTACAATTTCAGGAACTATATTCAAGATAGCTGATATAAAAATCTTCTCAAATCAATCTTATAAAAAAATTATAAGAAATACTTAAGATGTTTCCCAATAATAAGGTCTTAGGCAAATCTCAAATTAGTTACGAGATGTTAAAGAGGTTAAGCCAATATTAATGAATCTCAGATCAATAATAACAAAACAGTTCTAGTTACTATTAACAATTCTAACTATTATCTAGAAGAAGTCCAGGCAGGCATTAAAAAAGAAGTAGTCAAAGAGCTTAACAGAGCAGATCAAACAAGATTTTTAGAAATTTGGATAAGCAATCAAAAGATTATGATTGAACTAAAGAAAAGAGTGCTTAAAGAAATTCATATAATTGCTAAAGCTCTCAAAAATAAAAAGGTGATAAATAAGCAGACACTTTATATTCTAAATAGGGTATTAATATCAAGAATAAAATTTATAATACAGTATAGCATATTGTCTTAAAAATATGCAATACATTAATAACAGCATATAGAAAACTCTTCAAATACAAAAGTTTATTATGTAGATCTACTTCTGACAGTGTAATATATTATCCAATATCCATAATTTGGAGAGCATTTGAATGTTACAAAAAGAAAGTCAGATAATAGAATTGTGCAATAAATTGAATAATCTTGAACTACAATAATCATAAGGCTTAAACAAGTATAAATCAAATATTAAAAACCACTCAACCTACTGATTTGCGACTTACTAGACTATTTTATAGATAAAAATAATTTTTTGCTCCAAGTAATTAAGTTAGCCAAAGATATGGGAATTACTTTTAAAAGTTAAAAATGGTATAATATCTTTAAATGGAAAAAATAAATAGTTTAATTAGATAATATCTTTCATATGAAGAATATAATAAAGCCATACCATTACTAAGAAGCAATAAGTTAATATATATAAATCAGCTCATCACTATGAAGCAAGTTAAGTGAGAAATTAGTGTATGCATCAACTTATCCAAAAAATAGGTAAAGGCTATATCCTAGAATAGTTCTTAAATATAAGTAAAATGTTTCCTAAAGATCTTCTAAATATATTTATAAATTGTGGAAAATAGATTAAATAAAATAAAAGCTAACATATTTTACAGTCTGCCCTAACCATGACAAGAGATAAAAAATATGAATAATTAAAAAGAATATCAATTATTAACTAATATAGGGAAAGCTATTACAAGAAGTATCTAAGAAAAAAACAAAGATTAAATACACAGATATTATAATAGTGAAAATAGTTAAGAGACAAAACTAATTAAATGTATGAATTGTTCAAAAAGTTTTATCCAAAAATAGAGTTATATTATAAAGAGAGATATAGAAGAGATACAGTATATATTATATTATATTTTAATACAAGAAAAAGTACTAGAAGAGTCCAGATGCTAACAATTCCAAGTCCCATAATATCTTTGGAAAAAGCAATTAGAAAAACAATAAGTAATAATCAAGTATTTGTATAGTGTCTGCAAGGGCCATTCCAGCAGTTCACTTTTTAAGGTGATAAAATGAATTATGCAAATATAGAAAGTTAAAAAGAAACAATTATTAAAGAAAATGTTAAAAAAAGAGTATATTAAGATCACCTAATAGAAATATTCCAGTGTAATCTAGAATCCCAACAAAAGTTAACCTTCTATTCAGGTAGATCATTAATTAATTATGACAGTAATAATATGAAGATAGGAGCAACATGAATCCAAATAAGTGATACAGGAAAAGAGAGTAGATTTCAAATAGGAATAGACAGTTGGTCTGCATTCACATATGCAAAACTAATAGCAATAGTTACAATACTTCTGGTAATTCCAATAGGTAAATCAATTGAAATTTTTATAGATAGTTAAGCCTGTATCTCAAAGTAAAAAATAGTTGAAAAAAATGATCCAAAAAGAATATATAAAATATGGCTAAAGGATAAAAACTGGTTATTATGAGTACAAATGACAGAACTGATCAAGAAATAAGGTTTAGATCTGAAACTTATTAAGGTCAAGGCACACTCTCGAGATTTCTATAATGATAAATCAGATGTACTAGCCAAAGATGCTCTTAAACTTCTGGTGATAAAATAAAAAAATCTTATCTCATATAAAATCTTTACAAAAATCAAGTGACAGAACAAAATTTTAAATGATCCCATAAAATAATTCATCAAGAATATAAATAATAAGATTATAGTATATTAATGGGTATTACAAAATAGAACAGAAAAGAAATAGAATAATCAAATTTAAGAATAACAAGGCCATATATGGGATCTAGTATAGGAGAGAATGAATAATCATATGTGGAATATATCTTTCAAAGATTTTTTTAAAAAAAGCTTCTTTATCAAGTTAATAAATTATGAACTACTAATATTTGATAAACTGACAATAAAAAGGCCAGATCTATACAAGCAAGTAAAATGTATTGCATGTGATATTTAGAAAAAAAAAATAATTAATCACTTGCTAGAATGTTCAGTATACAAAAAATAGAAAAAGAAGATATGAAATATAGGTCTTGAAGGAGTTCTAATAAATTTCAGAAAACTTTTACAAGAAAGGAAAAAGAAAGTAGAAGAGAAGAATACTAGATTAATAATAGATACCAGTAAAGAAATAGGTGAAGTAGACAAGTAGATATTCAGGCTAATAGAACAGTTCTCAGCAACTAGTCGGAATATATTATATTTCTTTATAGGGTTAATAAGAAGTAAACTTATTTTTAAGATAATGAATCTTAAATACCATAGTAAAAGAATTGAAAAAGAAGCAAAAAAATGGATCAAGAAGCTGCAAAGTATAATTTGTAATTAGTTCTAGAAGAAGGTCTGAAATACAAGATGTGAAAGAATGATAGAATAGAAAAGATTGCAATAAATTCAAAAGAAGAATAAAATAAAAAGATATTTTAATCTCCCAAGTGCTAAAACTATATAATTGGAAAGAAAAACTCTGATACTAGAGGAAAGAAGATTAAAAGATAAAGATCTAAAAGATATCTTATCAAGAGGGATTAACTTTAGGATGTGATAGTTGGATTTGAGTAATGACAGAACTTAAAGAGTGATCTACAGTAGTGACCTGTAGGTAATAATATTAAAAGTTGGAAGGGTTTTTATCTGAACTCTTAATGGAGTAATAAATTATTTTCAAAGTTATACTTAAAGTAGTAATTATAAAAATGAGTCAACTAGTTAATGTTTTTTAGTTTTAGTGATTCTATATAGTTTACAAATGTTTAATAAAACACATATAATTAACCTGACAGAGTGTTAAAAAAAAAATAAAATAAAAAGAAATATTAATTTTTAAAAGATTAAATATTTTCAATTTATCAAAGTATTTCTGTTTTATTAATCTAGTTCTTTTTATTTGTACAAACAAATATATTATTTAAAAAGTTTTCTTGAGATATATTTTTTAATTTGAAAATACAAATTGATAATAGTTTAGTTTTATAAATTCAAAAATAACTATAAAATTTTTATTTTTTATTTTCAATAGATTTTCAGATAGATATTGCATAATAATTATTTGATAATGAATTGATAAACTATAGTGATTTAAAAAACCATTAAATTAATTATTTAAAAGTTTAAATAATATACTATAATTTTACAATTTTGATTGTTTAGTAATTCAATTAATAATATATTTCTAGTTGCAGATATTTGAATAATCTTTTATTATATAATTTAAAAGATTTTGAAAAATCTTGGTTAATTTATTTTTTTTTTTTTTTAAATCTATTTTTATAATCATTTAAACTAAATATTAAATCTTTTGCTTGTTTCTTTAATTCTGGTTTTGTTTATTCATAATAAGAAATAATTATTAATTTTTCTTTATACAGTATGTACTTTTAAAGTACTTTTGTTATTATCATCATTTTAATTAATATAATTATAATGAAAGTATAACAAAAGAGATAAAAAATATTTTGATTTGTTAATTTTCTTTCATCCTTATTGTTATAACGGTAAGTGGTTATTTTATGATCGGTCTAAAATCACATGACCAGACAACACGCTTTTGCCATGAGTAATTTTTTTCCACTTCTACGCATTGTGACAAATAAATATATGAGTCCGAGTTAAATTACTTTTTTAACATCCATATCTAAAAAATCCATCCGCAGTAACGATATTTCATTCTCGTACATGGTTACGTGAAAATATATTTATCGAATCGTTCGAGGCAAGTAAAAAGGAGCATGTTTTGTAATTCGCTTTTCGTCAAATCTCAAAATTTTAAGATAGCCGTGCAACTAAGAACTGTATCGCATTTAAATTCTGCAATAAAAACGTGTGCATCAAAAAGATGTCTTCGCGACGTCTCGGGGAAGTCGTTCACCAAACAATTTTTCATCAGTTGGCGGTTGGCATGTTCATTTAATTCTAAAACACATTCACCGATAATAATACGAAATAACAACAGAATTCTAGTAAGAGGCAACAGTACCGATGCTAATGGAAAAAACATAAACTCCGATGAAAGATCAGTAGCCGATCGAGAACAAACCAAAGTAGAAGATACAGCCAATAATTTGGATACCGTTGATAAGGAAAAAGTTGTTGAACAGCAACCGTTGATTACAACTCCTTGGACAAAGACCCTGCGTAACCTGCTCCAGACCACGGAAGATATTGGTGCAATATGGAAGGAATACCGATCGATAGTAGAAGGAGGAAATTTGAAAAGCATGGAAAAAAAATTCATCAATAGATTACTGCATTCAATTCAGAAATTTGACAAGGATCATGATAGTCGTCTAAAAAAAATTCAAACGGTCATCCGTGATCTAAGTGAAGCCGAAATGAAAGTTGGGCAAACCGTTCGTAATTACCTGATAGAAGCATACTTGGATAACAAAGATCTAGATAAAGCACGAATGGTTTTTGACGAAATCAAGGGCATGAAAGGGCCGCTTGGGAAGATACCAGTGTGTCCATATCGTATCGCTTGCAATATGATGATGAAAGCGTACGGGCATCGGCACTCTATGCTAACGAAGGACGGGATACCCCGAAATGACCTTCAGGAAGTGATGTCTATATATTCTTTGATGCATGAAAAAACTATATTTCCTGGTGTAGAAACAAAAAATGTTTTAGCAGGCATTTTCGAATTTCACTACTATCGTAATTATAGTAATTTAATTCGATGGTTCAACGAATTAATGGATAAAAGACTTGTGGATTCCGGACTAGTGAAAGAGGTTGTGGTCTTTTTGATTAAAAAAAAAAATCTCAACGAAGCAATTCGGATATATGAGAGAATGAGATCGTTGAACATGATTCCTAGTTCTTATATTTACAATTCGCTAATTGATCGACTCGGAAAGCAAGAAGAAATTGAAAAGGCACTGCGATTGTCTCAGGAAATGGAATCCCTGATACCTCTTGACACAGTTTCATATAATGTGTTGATTAAAACCTATGGTCTTGCAGAAGATCATGAAAAGATAAAGGAGCTTTTCGATGAGGTGCTTTCAAAAAAAGAAGCCAAACCTAACTTGAGAACCTTCTCGGAGGCAATAAATGCCTGTGCAAAATTGGGCAGAGTGAATTCCGCACTTTGGGCATTAGAAAAAATGAACTCCCTTGGATTGAAACCTGACCAATTCATTTATACTTCATTAATTGAACTTTTTTCCAATGTAAATGATACACAGTCCATGGAAAGGGTTTTTCACAATATGCTGACAGATGGTGTCAATCCTCTTAATATCACTTACGGTATGTTAACCGTTGGATACTGCCGCGAAAATGATATATACAAAGCATTCCAGATATGTCGTATAATGATCTCGGCTGGTATAGAACCAGATGTTCGCATATACAACGCATTGATATCCCTTTTTGCTGAAAGGAAAGATCCTACTAGCGCGTTCCTTTTATTTAACGAGATGCGCGCCTACAACATTACGCCTGACGCGTACACGTATACCAATCTGATTCATGCGTATGCCAAGGCTGGGGATATAAGCAGAGCCGAGGAAATATTTATGGATATGGAGCTTGCTGGAATAAAGCCGCAAACTATTACTTACAATGTATTGTTAAACGCATATGTAGAGAAGCTGGACATGAGGCGCGCTCAAAAATTATATAACGAAATGCTAGAATCATTTGTACGTCCGGACGTTTACACTTTTTGTTGTTTGATCGATGGATTCTGTGAAAAAGGAGACCTGGGCGCGGCGGCTACACTTTTTAGACACATGCAGAATAACCATCAATTGGAACCAGACACTCACATATATACAGTACTAATACACCGCAATTTACAACACGGTGATTTCAGGAATGCAAAGAGACTTTACGAAAACATGATAGACCGTCGCGTAAAACCCACTTACGTTACATTCGCCGTGCTGATCCATGGGCACGCTCGGTATGGAGACTTGGATTTCGCCGGGAAACTCGTCTCAGAATTAGTAATTCAGAGTAAGTTGTCGGGAGAAAAAAGTGACATACCCCCAACAGTATTTACGCCTCTTATGGATGCGTATGCCAAGCTAGGAAAAATTCATGCAGCCAGGACAATATTTGATACAATGTCAACATTGGGAGTTTCGCGCAACGCTCACGCATATGTGATTCTTATGGACGCCTACCGTCGTGTTCGTAATTACGATGCTGTTTGGCAACTGTGGCAGGGTTTACGCAAGGATCCCCCATTAACAACATCACACTTGACACTAGCAGAATGGGTTGAATCGCATATAGTTCGATCTGATCCCGTGCTTCCGAAAACCCCGAAAACAAATTTGGGATCTGAATCAAAAAAAGATTTTTCGGAATCATTGTTGTTTTCTTTTGATTCCCCGTTGAGTCCTTTGCTAAAATCCCAGCTACCACCGTGTCATGCGGTCTCTGTTATGATTGATGCGCTCACTGAGACGAAGCGCTATGATGAAGTTCAAGAAGAATGGAATAGGCTGGCCCGGGAAGGTTTCGAATTTGACTCTCATAATCTGAATCATTATGCTCAAAGTCTTATATTATCCGGTAAAATCAAGGATGCTTGTAGTATCATAGACAAATATTTGATGGAGGGATGGAATCAACAAGTAGAAATTTGGAAACGTTTTGATCGCGAATACTCCACAGAATCCTTTATGGAACGAAAGAGACTTTTGAGTCTTGTTGAAAAATTCCCACACCAAAAAACATTATTGATGCTAGCTGAATCTTTTGAAAAGATGAAAAATCAGGATTGGTTCAACATGCAAGATGTGACAAAGACGCCTACATCCATACTGTTATTAAATGAAATTGTGGAGGAATACCCAGAGGTTGCGTATGCGGCTAAAGAAACTGCGAAATCTTGGAAGGCTCAACGAAGAAGGGCCAATTACGAAAACTCGGAAAAAAGCTATAAATACAAATACGTTAATTAAAAATGTCCCGAATAATCACGTCGTGATAGATTCCTATTTGAGTTCGCAATTGCGCATGCCGATGTAATATCCTGTATATATACACACATCACCTAAAAGTTTTGCGAATACCCTTACTATGAAGAACCCCTTTTTTTTTTGCAATAAATGTAATTCATGTATTAAAACAATTCACATTCATCAGAGCAAAGTTTACAATCCTTTCTTATGCATCTTATGCAATAATGATGCCTTGTAGTTCTCATCATCTGAATCGATTAATAGGTTTTTCGTAAAGTAAAGTAAGTCACTAAATTGTGAGAAAAAAAAATGCCATATATCGGTGGCATTCATTGTAGTCGCTGATTAAATACCAGTATGCAATCTTTTATTTCACAATCCATTTTTATGGTGACAAATAAGTTTACTTAAAAGCGACCAATGAATTATTTAATAAAAATACGCGTTGAACAAATATTAAAAATGGCTGACATAAAATGTTTAATTAAGCTTATGTTTAAATTCTTATATCTGAATCTACAAGTTACTATTTAACTTTTCTTTAATATGTAATTTATTATACAGTATATAATAGTTTACTAAAGTTATAAATACTCAATTAAAGCTAACTTTAGCGGTTTACTATATTACATTATTAATTTAAATTTTAAAATTAAAATTATTTAAATAAATAATTATAATAATTTATAAAAATTAAATTTTATTTACAATTATATTTTGATTAAATTTATATTTGACATAATGTATTCAAGTGAAATGGTTTTTTTAAAAAAAATTTTTTTTTAATAGAATGATTAATTTTGATAAAAAATAATCAAAATTTTTTATTTAAAATCTTATTAAATAATATTATATAATAGTTTACAAAAAATATAATTTACTTAAATTAAAAAAAGATAATAAAATTCTTTGTTCCAATATTAAGTGAAAATATTCAATTTTTTATATATTAAGTAAAGTTATTATTTTAAATTTATTTGATTTTAAATAATTTATTTTTACTTATATATTTATAATATATATTACTTTACTTACTATATTTTTATTTTTAAATTATATAATCAAAAGTTATAAAATAATTTCAAAATTTTTATTATTGTTAAATATTTTTATTTTTTTTTTTTTTATTAATTATTATATGATTCACAGTATAATAACAATCAATCAAAATAATTAAAAAGTAAAAATTTGATAAAGAAAAAAATTTTTTAATAATAATAAACTTTAAAAAATTATATATTAAATTTTTTTGAAAAAAAATATAAAAATTAATATTAAGATATAATATATATTATTTTTTAAAATCTCTTTTTTTTTGATCTTCTTTTTTTAAAAAAAAAAATTTTTTGATAATTTTTTTGAAAAAGAGAAGCCAGCTCAAAATACTATATAGTTAAATACCAAATAGTAAATATAACACTCAGTAACACTTCATAAAACTTTTTTAGAAATTAAAGAAGTTTTAAAAAACAATACTTGACTTTTCTTTTCTCAGTCTTATCTTTACTAGAGAAAAGAATCATATTATCAAACTAATTTACAATAAGCTTAAAAAAGCCCAATATTAACTTCTCAAGCTTTTAACCAAGTCAATATCAGTTTATATCTTTCTAGGTATTGGAAGGAACTTTACAAACAATAGTTTTTATTGATAAATCAAGAAAAACACAAAGTCTACAAAGTCCAAAAGAACATTAAAGTCTCCCAAAAACTAAATAGTAGAGTACTCTAATTCTATAACCATTCCTAATTAAACATTAACAAGTTATGTGAATATGTAAACATAAAAAGAATTAGTAATAAACAACATAATAAAATTTATTAAAAATCTACATACATATAAATAAACTGACTTATTATAATAAAAGCTGATTAATAATAATTAATTTGATAAACAAATAGGATTAAATAGTAAGAATTATTGATATTTGTGATAAACAAGGATCAACCCAATAAACAAATTAGTCAACTTTTAAAAACCTTACAAAACAATATAAACAAATAAGGATAAACAAGATATAACAAATTAACAATTTATTTTTAATCTTATATGATATTCAAAATAATCAAAATATAGAGAATTATGCAAATTGTAAAAAAGAAAAAGTTTCATATTCTTGACACAATAATTAGAATAGTAGATAAACATGATCCAAGAAAAGAAATATAATTTATACAAGTAATTTTTAATAATCTTTTTGTATAAAATAACATTTTTGATCAAATTCCTGGACTAGTAAAATATTCAATACTAGATAGTATCCTAGTCAAAACCCTAAATATAGATTCAATCACATTCATTAAAGCCATAGTTTTTAAACAATACATCTTTTATTTATGGATTCAATATTAGAAGAAAGAAGATGATCTTTTAGTATCTTTCTTGGAAGAAAAATTCAGATATATTTTTAAACAAGATACTTTCACAATCTTCATTTCTTCCCATATTTCAAAAACTTTATAAGAAAAGCAAAAGCCAAATAACTTTAAAATAATAAACTATATTCAAGTTAAAAATTCTATCTCAAAGGAAGATATAAATATTTAATCAATAATTACAATTAAAATTTCAAAAAATATAAAATTGAAATAGATGATAAGGAATTAAAAGACAAACTTGAAATAGAAAACATTCAGAAAAGAGTTGAAAAGAGAAATATAGTTAAACAAATCTTCTATAATATATGAAATAGATCTAAGTTAATCAGCATCAATCTATTTTATATTTCAAAAAAAAATATATAAAGTAAAAATATTTACATCTAAAATATTAAGAGAGACAAAAAATAAGAGAACAACCTATCTTCAAGAAATATTGAGTTTACTTAAAGATATATAACTATTTAAAAAAGATTTTCTCAATGATAATATATGGATAATTTTTAATTTTGATAAAATAAAATATATTTTACAGTACATAGAAAAAATTGTAAAAAAAGAATGTGAAAACTTTACTTTAATTCCTATATAAGTAGACAAATGAGAAAATTTACACTTGCCATTAAAAAAGAGATTCTTTAGATTAAAAACTAAAGAAAAAAATAAAACTATAATTATTATGTTAATAGATTTAAACTATAGCTATATATGGCAAGAAATAAAAACTACTCTTCAGAAATATAAAAAAGTACTAGACATTCACATATATAATCATTCCTATTCTTAAAAAAGAATGAAAGCATAATTTATTTCATATTAATGCAAAGATTTAGATGATAAATAGTTCATCCATATCAAAATAAAAACTTTTAAAACTATTTTTACTTAGCATAAATTAGATAATTTGATCTTTGGATCAATAACATAGTAGTAGCACTTCCAGGTCATCGAGTACTGTTTCTGAGTTCAATACCACTGCAAAGCAGTATCACTTAAGCCTAGATAATATAAGAAGATCACATCCATTCTATGATAATGATCTAATCACCTCTAATCAAGATACCATCTGATCATGAGGTATTCAAAGATCATAAGATCTTTCTTTAGCCAGTTTTAGTACTAAAGTCATTTTGTCACAAGACAAGTTCTTTCAAGCTCCTATAGATAGGTTGAAAATCTACACGCTGTAAAATCAAGGAAGCTAGTGGAGTCTAAACATATTAGTTAAAAGAGGGTCTCTACCAAAATTGACATCTATCCAAGACTTCATGTGGTTACTCCATAGATAGGCTATAATAAGCTATGTAAAAAGAGTGCTTCAGTGGGATAAGATAATATTTAAGACTTCATGTGGATATTCTGTAGGCATACTGTAATAAGTACTATAAAAAGAATATTTGGTGAGATGAGATATGAAAGGGTTCTATACTATGGATTCTGGGTTTATAAATATAAGGGTCAGGAAGGGTAACACAGATATAGGTAGTGAAGTAGTAAGGCTTCTTCTGGCAATAAGCATGGAGGTATACAAGATGTTACAATCAGGTTTATGGATATAATGGTAGGATAGATATAACCTACTATGATTAGTATAAGATTGATTATAGAATTGTCCTATAATTATAAGCTAGACTAATATGTAAAGCTGTTCTATCAACTTCAATAAACTGGGCTCTATTAATCCTTTAAAATAAAATAAAATAAATTAGATAATCATAAAATAAATAATATTCTCAAGAACTTAAATATCTAGTCTTTGTGATTCTATAATATATACAATACTTATATTAGTCTTATACAAAAGTAATAAAACCTATAAAGGTTATGGTATATTATATATCTAGAAATTCAATTATATTTAAAAGAAGAAAATATACTATTATATATTTCATAATAATGAAAGATCTATTCAAAGTTTTAAAACAATATATTTTTATATAGACCTGTGGGTCAATAGCATAGTGATAGTATTTCCAGGTTGCAATCACAAAGTCTATAGTTCAATACTACTTAAGAATCAAAAAAATTAAATTTATTCTTCTGATCAGATTTATCAATTATTCTATAAAAGTCATACCCAATTATTTGAGGTCAGTCTGTAAACAGATTAGATTGCATAAAAATAGAACTTCTAACCTTTCATCAATCAAGAACTAAAACTTAAAGTCATATTATTGGAAGGATTGCATAAAGTAAGACATCTGATCTAGCCTCCTACAAAAATATTCCAAAGCCTACTCTATCCTAACAATTTCTAGGACTTTACTTTTTTAGCTCAGGATATTCCAATTTGATGCTCTGCTTAATTGAAAATCAGTTAATAGGGATTGATCTGATGCCACAGATGATAACAAAGAAGGTAACATGCCCTTTTTGAGATTTAAATGAATAATATCTAAGAATATTAAAGTGTGTTCATATACTATCAGGTATATTAAAAAAGAACTAGCTTAATGAATTAATAAAAAAAAACAGTCATCCAATAAAAACCTCATACTAACTAGCCTAGCATTATTATTTATAACTGTGTATTAATCATCTGATTACTAACTAGATATACCCATTTTCAAAGTGATAGTAGATTTAACTAGGATTGTCATGATAGGTTAGCATTAATTTGTATGATATAGCAATGTATAATCTATAAAGATGTTTGATGTAATGACAATAGAATACCATTGCCAAATAAAATCCTGTATATAATACCAGTTGCAATTTAAAATTAAAAAAAAAAAATACATTTTTATATATAAATACAAACTTTACTAAAGTGCAAAAGAATACTTTATATAAGAAATAATATAATATAATAAAACTGCTTAAATAGAAAATATTAGTAATAGTAAAAAATATACCTATCTTAAAATATTACAAAATAAATTTTATCAAAAATAGCTTGGTTAAACAAATATTCAAAATTTTATAAGAATTAATAGGTATATAATTTAAAAGAAGAACTCAGAAGC